AAGAGTGAAGGAACTCTCCCATCCACTTCAAAAAAATAAAAAGGTGGAGGCAGCTGAACTGACCAAAGAAAAACACACAGGAGTTGGTGGCAGGTGCAACCAAATAACCAAAGAAGACAAGAACTTGGAAGGTGGCACGACCTACCTGCAGGGGAGGAAGAGGAAAGCTGTGGAAGGAAGGAAGGGCTGGGGGTGTAGGAACATGTAGGTCATAAGATTCTGAGAACTAAGCATCTGGAAAAGGAAGAAAGTGAGAGCGCTTACCTGTCCAGATCAGAGACATGAGCAGGCCTCCCCTCCTGCCTTTCCTCTAGCCTCTGCTCCCTCCTCTCCTAGCCCAACCCTGCTCAACATTTGGGGGAAGTTCTGGTTCTTTAAGTGGGTTTTGTCAGCATCTGGCTGTGAAGGGGCTGGGGAATGAGAATAGAAACTGAATTGATCTCTTCCCCCACTTCATGCTCAGAGATCAAAGATGTAATACCTCCCCCCCCCCCACACTCCCCACTTAGTCTCCAGGGACAGGATGGAAGCCAAGCCCAAGGGTTAGGAACCTTCCCAAGGCACAGAGAGGAGTTTGAAGAAGAAAGAGTGGAAAGAATGGAAGATCCAGGCCTGTGACATAGAGTGGGCTCCAAAGACTGGCCCTGGGGCCGGGGACAAAACTTCTAAGAACAGCAGACAAGGGTTGCCCATGTCCTTCCCATGCTACCATCCCTGCAAACTGCCTCTTCTTTAACCCCCATCTGCACACCATCACGGGGAAGCAGGGGACAGGCCCAATGGAAGTAAGAGGAAAATCAAATTGGCAACATCAAAACGATAGAAAATAGGCTTAAGGTATCAAAGTGTGAGAGAGTTTAGAGGAAGAAACATCAAATTGTCACCTTGCAGGGTAATTACTCATGGGTCTATTGCAGGAAAAGATCTGATCTTTGAGCTTCATTCCAACTGGATGCCCTGAATAGAGCTTTGGAAAATCTAGCCCCTTTCTGTCTACAAATATGGTCTTCAAATCTACCCAATCTGCAGATCAGAGGCGGGGATGAATCCCCAGAACGTAGATGCCTAGAAACCCCAACACTTTGAAACTCTCACTTATCTCGCTGCCATCTGAGAGACTCTGTAAGCAATCCTCTCTAGATCCAGAGGTCAGCAAGGCTGGGAGACTGCAGACACTGCAGGCAGCATGCCCACTGCACTGACTCTGAGGACCCCCAGAGGAGGAATCTGTGGCTACACACAGTCATTATGGGAGGGACTGGTTCAGGCTGCAGCCACGGGGAGGAAGGTTAGACTTCAGGGGGCACCTTCCTGGGGGGCAGGGAAGGACACAGGGAACTTAGTTCAGAAGCAACTCTGGAAACACACACACACACACACACACTCTGTCTGGACTTAAGTGAGGAGTCTGGGAGGCAGAAGCAAGAGGAACACAGCTGAGAACGGGGAAAGGCTTACTAGGACGAGAAATCCCACAGGGCTCAGATGGGGGTCGCTTGTGGGCCCTGTTCCAACCATCAAAACCTGTCTTTGCACCCCAAATCTCCAACACCCCAAAAAGTAGAGGAGACAAGAAAAGAAGAATGGATGATAAGAGGTTAAGGGAATTCGGGGAGGCACAGGCTTGTGGTGACAAGATGGGGAACAGAGTAGGCAATAGAGGATGGGCTGGAGGATGTAGGAGAAGAGGGGGTAGAAATGACGGCAAATCCCTGCAAGAAAATATACCAGGAGGGCCCAGCTGGCCCTGGGGCAGGAGAAATGATGTGAACCTAATAGAAGTACTAGAACAAGAGGGTCAAGAAGGAGGGGGTGAAAAGGTGGGAGAGAGGGAGAGAGAGCGAGAGGACATCAGAGAAGGGACTGATAAAGGGGAAGGACAGAAGGGGGACCCATATAAGGAACGGACACCATATGGGGGGAAAGATATAGGTGATGGACACCAGAGGAGGGAGGGGGGACTGGAAATAAGGATTGGAGATGGGGGAGGGGAGTAAGAGTGGTGGAGTGAATGAAGCAGATAAGACCCCAGGGGTTACACTGTCCTGGGCAAGGGCCTGGAAGAGGTTTGGGCAGTGTAACCTGCCCCTACTCCCATCACTCAGTCTCACTCGCATTCCCCCTCCCCCTCCACAAACACACACACATTTGGCCCTCCCCCTGCCCTGGTCTCTCCTCCCCCAACCCATTCCCTCTCCTCTCTTCCCTCCATCTGGACCCTCTATTCCTCCCCCCACACACACTGCCTCCCTCTCTCTCCATCTGGCCCCTGCTTCTCTTCCTCCATCCTCCTCTCTTTTTCCATCCCATCCCATTCTCTGACCCCCCCCACCCCCCACCATATTCTGAACCCCATCTTCTTGGCTCCTCTTTGCAAACCTATGTTTTCATTTCTCCCTCCCAGCCCCTCTCCCGACTCTGCCCTTCTATTTCCTTGATATTTTCCTCATCTCTTAGCTTCAAAATTATTTCTGCAGCTCTTCCTCCAACCCTATCCCATCTTCCCACCCTTTCTTGCGATCTCTTCTTTCCCCTTCATTTTCACCTCAGCCCTCTTTAAGGCCTGTCTCCTGGCCCCTCCGGTCCCTATCTCCCCTGTCCCCTGGCCTTCAATCCCTCCTTCCTCACTGCTCCTATCCTGTCTTCCTAGTCCTCCTGTCTCCCTCCATTTCAGCAGCTCCCCTCCTTGGCCTCGGCTCTGCCCCCTCCTCCGCCCTGCCCCTGCCCCTCCCCCCTTTACCCCTCCTAACTGGCCCTCCCCCTCCCCCCTGGCCCTCCCCTTCCCCCGCCACCGTACCTCTGAAGGGGGCATAGGACATCGCGGGGATGCTCCCCCGATGGATGGAGGCGCGAGACCTGCTCATCAGGCCTGGGAGGGAGGGGGCGGGGGACGGGGGAGAAAGAGAAGAGAGAAAGAGGGGGAGAGAGAGGGGGAGAAGGAGGAGGAGGTGGAAGAGGAGGAGGAGAGAGGAGGAGAGAGGAGCGGAGAGGAACAGAGAGGAGGAGAGAGGAGGAGGAGGAGGAGAATGGGAGCCAACGGCAGCAGCGGCAGCCGGGAGAGAGAGAGGGGGGCGGGGGAGTGAGCGAGAGAGGAGAGAGCAGGAGGAGGAGGAGAGAGAGAGATCTGCAGCCCCCACCCCTACCCAGTGGGAATCAGAGAGACAGAGACCCCTGACTCAGAAACACCAGAGAGAGAGAGGGAAAGCGAGCCGGAGAGAGAACAGTTTTAAAGCTGCAGATCCCAGACCCTGAGAGCAAGAGACCCCAGACCCAGAGAAAGATACTTGTCACCAGGGAGGGGAGGTGCGGGGAGGTTAATCTGAGGCACAAATCCAAAATCTAGAGGAAAACAGACCTCAATCTCTGTAAAAGCAAAAACAACGCCCCCCCAAAAAGACCCCCCCTAGAGAAAGGGGTGAAAGGTCAAAAACTGAGCCACCGGTTTCAACAAAGTTCTCCAGAGCCACAGGAATCTTGGACGGTAGCCTCAGATGGTTATTCAGGGACCAAGTTCTGAGGCTGAGACCCAGATGCAGAGAGAGATGTCAACCAGAGACCCCCGACACAGGAACTGCAGACCTCGGGCTTGGGGTGGGAGTGGGGGAGAAGGGGAGGAAGAGATTAGAGATGGGGAGCGAGGGAGGGAGGGAGGAAGACGCTTATCTAGTGCAGAGATGCGGACTCAGCGACCCCAAATTCATAAAGAAGAGTTAGAAAAACCTTGAAGAGACAGTGATTACAGATCCAGGAAAACAAACCCCTAAAACAAAAACAGAAAGAAACCCCAATGCAAACACGGAAAAGACCCCCCCGAGTTGTATCTCAGGAACAAACTCCGGGAGCAGAGACAGAGCTCTGGAGGAGACCCGGCCCTCGAGGCAACCTGCGGGAACTCCGAGCAGCCTGGAAATGCCAGTCGCCCACCCCCCGGCCAGAAGAACCTAAGACTTGGGGGGGGGGGGGGGGAGCAGCACTGGGTAGAGGGTGTGGAAGAGCCTTTTCCCTGCTTCGTCCTCCCACCACGCCCTCCTCTCATTGGCCCCTCTCCATTTTTGGGTCACAGGATGTGCCTGCGCCCCAGGGAGGTTATGTAGGGCAGGTCCTGGCTCCTAGGAGGACGGGTTAAGGGAAGGAGACCCAAGCTGACAGGTAGACCAGTCCTGGAGAGGGCATAGGAAGGGGATAGGGACACAAGGACCGTCACTGCCTCTTGGTGTCCTCTCCATATCCCCAGCCTCAGCTCTACTTCTCCCGGATTTACCAGCCTGCCTCCAGCTTTGGGGAGGCGCCTGCTGCCCGATGTTCATCGCCCCATTTACAGGGTCTCCTTCTAAAAGACGTCTTTCCTCACCTCGCCATGGTCTGGCCGTGCCCGTGCCTGCCTAATCACTCCCCCTACCCAGGGACACTGCTTCTCCTCGGATTATCATTGTTCATTCCCAATCCCAGGCGAGTGCTAGTCCTAAGCAAGAGGGCAGGGGGCGCTCTCTTCACCCTCCGAGGTTAAACCTTCTCAGACCCTCCCACCTCCGGGCCTCGGGAACCGCGTAGGGGCTGTGGTGAGGTGCCCTCTGGGGACTAGGGATGACCCCCCACTCTACAACTTGACGCATCGAGTCTGCGGGGTCTCCAGCCCCGCTTTCCTGGCGCCATCTCTTCCATCACGTGGCCTGCAGGGCTGGCCCGCGATTGGCTTCCTCGCGTCCCTCATTGACAGACCGCCATCCGCGGGGACCTCCCCCGTCACGTGACAGTGGACCGCCGCCGAGGCTCTCCTCAGCTTGCCATTGGTCGGCTCCGGGAACGGGCGGGCCATTTCCGTACACGGCTGCAGATCCTTTGTGGATTGGTCAGCTCCCTTCGCTCCTCCCTCACCAGGAGGCGGGGCAAATTGGGCCATGCGAGGGCCGGATTGGCTGGCTCTGGAGGCGCAGCTCTTACTGTCACGTGGTGTACGTTGTGTTCTTATCACGTGGCTACCTCCCAGGTAAGTAGAGGCCCCTCTTCCTGGGTGTGGGGCCCTTTCTCGGCGTTACTGTGGCCTTTGATATCCAACCCTCCTCCGCCGGCTTAGGCTGCATGAGAGGGGTGCGGGCTCCCGCGGTCCTGCTCGGCGGAGGGGTGAGTGAGCGGCCCCGCCCCTCCCGGTTCGGAAGCCTGGACCACCACCCGCACCCGAACCCCAGAGGTTGGCCCCTGAGCAGAGGGTATAAACCGAGCCTTTGCCTGAATTTTTCTAGTTTCTCTCTCAGCTTCAGGGACCTTTCCTTCGGGGTGCAGAAGAGGGAGGGCAGAGTCCGAGTGTCTGTCCAAACGAGGGGTTTCTGGGGTGCAGTTGCCTGTGGTTTGTGGGGAGACACCGAATTCAGCGCCTGCTCCCAGGCCGCGCTGCTCCTGTCGCTCCTTTGGATGCCGGCGCTGCTGCCTGTGGCCTCCCGCCTCCTCTCGCTGCCCCGCGCCCTGACGGCCATGGCTTCAGGAAGCCCCCCGGCCCAGCCCTCGCCGGCCGCGGACTCCGGTTACGTTCCGGGCTCGGTCTCTGCAGCCTTCGTGACCTGCCCCAATGAGAAGGTCGCCAAGGAGATCGCCAGGTGGGGACCGGTGTGGGAAGAGGCAGACCAGAGGGAGAGTTGGGTGCTGAAGAAGGTCCCTCCGCCGCTGCCCGCCTCTGGGCTTGGAGACCCTGGGCTGGGAGCGCCGAAGCCGGGTGGTGGAGCGCTCTGAAGGGGTCTCTTCGCCTCCAGGGCTGTGGTGGAGAAGCGCCTGGCAGCCTGCGTCAACCTCATCCCTCAGATTACATCCATGTGAGTCAGGACTGGGGCCACCCTAACGCGGCTAGGGGCTGACTGGCGGTCTTTTCGTTGGGGAAAACCTTTGCTCTCACAACTCTCCCTGACCTTTTCAGCTATGAGTGGAAAGGAAAGATTGAGGAGGACAGTGAGGTGCTGATGGTGAGAATCATTTCCCCACCCCGCGAAGCCTCAATTCTCTGACCTTTGACCCCTCTCCTTCATGAGATCCTGAGATGAGCCCCATGGGTGGACTCAACCACATTTGTCTTCACCCCTTAGATGATTAAAACCCCAAGTTCCTTGGTGCCAGCTTTGACAGATTTTGTTCGGTGAGAATTTTGAACTGGGGGGCGGGCCGTGGTCAGGGTGGGTAACGTGGGGGTGGGCTCCTTTGGGTAACTCTTGAATGACCCCACCCCTCTATTTCACAGCTCTGTGCACCCTTACGAAGTGGCTGAAGTGATCTCCTTGCCTGTGGAGCAGGGGAACTCCCCATACCTGCGCTGGGTGCGCCAGGTGACAGAGGCAGCTTCTGACCCCAGCACAGTCCCACCATGACGAGCCCTGTTCCTGCCAAGTCCCCGCCTATACTTCAGGGCCCTCTGACCTGCAGAGGACGCCTGGGCCCCTAATAAATCCTACCTTTGGTTCTTTCTGCCTTTGCCTTTTCTCGTCATGTATGAATTTGGTTGGGAAGATTAGAAGTGCTTCTAGTCCTGTGTTCTCATCTTTCAGAATGACTCAGCTGCCAGATTTGTTTATCTTTATTTCAATCATACAGAGCCCAGTATCCTTTATTATCCTTCCCCTCCTCAGTCTCCATCCCCAGGGGTTAAATAATTTTTAAAAATATTTTAAAAGCTGTAACAAAATAACATCAAAGGAAATGGGAAGCAGGGTGGGGGAAAGCTCAGGAATCATGAAGGGAGTAGAGAAGAGAGCCTCTTCTCCCCACCTCCCTGGATTCCACCTGGGCAGTAGGAAAACTACCCCCTCCCTCCCCAGGTACATCCCAGCTGTAGGTGAGGTCAGAGGTCAGGGTACGAAAGTGCCGATGTGTGTGTGAATGGGGAGGTGGGCAGAGGCAGGCTGTTCAGAAGATGCCCCCGCCTCCCCACTCCACCAGGTACTGCACAGAACCATCAGGCCGTACTCTCCGAGCCAGGACTCGGACAGGGTCCCCTCGGGACAGATAGCCCACCCCACCTCGTACTCCGCCCCCAGTCCCAGGAGACAAACTACGGCACAGGGGAGAAGAGAGTGCTGAGCGTCTAGGAAGACCTGGGGAGGGCGCTGGGACTGAGGAAGATGAGGCAATCATCGAGTGAGGGGCACTTTTAGGGATGTCTGTGGGGAAACCAATGTGAAGTTCCAGGGGTGACCTAGGGAGAGAAGGCAGTTGTGAGTCCAGTAAGACAGGTAAGGACTGACCAGAAATGGAGCCCACAAGTAGATCAGAGGAATGAAGAAATGGTTGGAGATTGAGGACCTGAAGAACACAGAGACAACGAGGGGTGTCACAGGTAAGGGGGTAGAATCTCACCTGTCTGGGGGTTCGCCATCCCCAGAGGTCCCTGCAGTGCTGGCAGAGGGGTGGAAGGAAGCGAACATCCGGATGGGACTACTAGGGTTGGGGAGGGAGAAAAGTCAGGACCTGAAGCAAGAAAACAGGACATTCTCCCCCTGAATGAGCTTACCCCTGAGGAACCCCCATCCCCAAGAAACTGGGGACCAGACATTGGTTCTAGAAGTCTCTCTGGGACAAAAAGTGGGTAGCCAAATGAGAGAATTCTGGGTGAGAAAGTCTAGAGGATGTGGACAATTAGAGAGGTTCTAGGGCAGCATATCTGGTTGGAGGGGATAGCAGCACTGACCTGGGCAGGCAGCGGGCGTCTGTGGGCCGGAAGTTGTAGCCGCTGCTGCCCTGGTAACTCTGGTTAGGGCTGGGGGGTGGTGGAGACACTGAGGCCTAGAAGCAGGAGCAGAGGACTAAGAGAGAACCCTGGATTCCCCACACCAGCATGTGCCCCATGGGGTTGCCTCTGCCTCTGTACCTGCAGTGCCCTCTGCAGAGGGGCCCGCTGCCTCTGCTCCTGGGGCTCTGGCTGAGTGCGCACTGCTGAGGGCGGCCCCAGCTCCTCCATCTTCCCCTTCTGCCTCCTCAGGGGCTCTGGCTCCGGCCTCCGGCGCTTCCCCAGGGGACGTGGAACCCCTCCCCCAGGGCCCTGCCCTGAAGGGAAGCTGTAAGAGGCCTCCTTATCCCCCCAGCCCCCTCCCGGACACCCCAAAGACCCCCACCTCCATATATATTTACCCCCAGATTAATACCCTGAGAATTTCCCCATCCCCCCTAGACCAGTGACCTGGTGGGGGCTCCATCTCCAGTAGGTGGCTCCACAGGAGGAGGGATCCGAGCATGAAGACCAAACAAGCATTTCCTCTTCTTAATCTCCCTTCCTGAAATGAAACTGGGGTGAGGAGAGAAATGGTACAGGTCAGTGTTATAGAAAAGGGCCCCTCTTCTGACCTTCCTCCCTGCTTTCCGGAGACGGTGTCCAGGTAGATCACAGCACCGCCCTCCCCAGCTCCGTCTCCACATCACCTCTCGGCCTCCCTTCAGCTTACCGGTCCTTGTGGCTGTTGAGTGCAGAGAGGAGCTTGGAAGAACGTTCTCCCTTGGGAGTGTCCGAGAGCTGGGGAAGAGGAGGGAAAGTGGGGTCAAGGAAGCAGTGACCCCTTCCTCCCCCTCTTCACATCTCTCTCCCCCCATAACCCCCAAAGCTTCACCACCCCTTACCTCCCCAAGGAGCAAACTGTCCCAATTCTCAGAGGTGAAGGGGAGGATCTCACGGTCAAAATCAAAGTATTTTTTCTTACAGCAAACGCTGAGGTGATAGAGGACAAGATGGGCCACATCCACCCTGGAGAAGCATTGAGTTGTCAAGGTTGTGGAAGCATTACAACAGCCAGGGGAGTTCCGAGTGGGAGGTTGGGGCGGGTAGGGGAGAGAGGAGTTACACTGAGGTCAAGCTCACCAGCGAAGCTGTAGCCTCCTGACCTTCTCAGGGCCCCCCCGACACACACAGCATTCAAACTCATAGAACCTGGATGTGGGCAAGAGAGAGAGTACACCTGACACGGGAAAACTATACCATGCTATGGAGGGCTCCCAAAGCAAGGATGGGGAACTACTGAGCAACACCTGAGAGGCTGTGAGGAGAACGGATCTGAGACAGGCAGGTGTGGGGGAACTGAGAGGGTGGGCAGATCAAGAGGTCTCACCTGTCCCCGTAGAGGAGGGGCTTGCTCAGACACTGGGTGCAGGCCTCGTGGAACCACTGCAAGCAGCTCCGGCACTGCAGCATTTTCAGGTTCCACCTGAGGGGGCGCATAGGACTAGTGACCTCCAGACACTCCCCCTTAACTGCCCCAAACCCTGCTCACCACCGACTGCCTCCCCTTCAGCCCTCTGCTTACCCTGTTCTCCTCCATTCCCCGAGAAGTCCTGCACAACCACTTGTTCCTGAACCCCTGCCCCTCATTACTCACTCCCCAGGACCACCACAGTAACAGTAGCTCTGCTGCCGGTTGCTCAGATGTCCAGCGTCCCAGTCCAGCCCCTTGAGTCCGTATGGCAGAGAGAGCTTCATACCCAGCATGGCCCGGGCGTAGGGGCCCTTCTTCAGTGCACCCCCCCTCTGCAGAGACAGAAGGGGCAGGCCACCTCAGCAGTGGGGCGAGGAAAGGCTTGGGAGAGGCCGTGGGTGGGCAGCTCCAATAGGAAGGTGCCTTTACCTTGGTGGCGATGGCAAAGATGCACTGGCGGCAGACCCAGGACGTGCCCTCTCCCTCTCCAGGGGCTGGGGCCCTTGGAACGTGGCAGTCCTGGTGATAAGCTGAATGATAGTGAGGTAGAGCACTTACTGAATTGTAAACCTCCGTGTACTAGGCCCTGGGAGAGGAAGAGTCTTATCTATCTCATTTAATTCTCGGCCATCGTCCTGTTTCGGGGCGGGGGGGGGGGGTAACTACCCTTATTCTATAGGTGAGGAAACTGAGGCTCCTAGAGGTTTTGAGGTTTTTGAGACTTGTTCAAATGGTTAAGAAAGAGATTACTTGACTTGAACCACCCCTCTGCCTGCAAAGCTCACACATCCCCATCCCATGGCTGCCTCTCTCTGTGTTGGGAAGGGACTGAGGTTACAGGGTTGAAGAGACTGGCCAGAGCAGTGGCCTGGGGGACAGGCCAGAACAGGGGGTATAAGGACCAGTCCTGGAGGGAAGGGACAGAGCAGCCGGGAATGTCCAGGGCAAGCTGGACCATTCAGGTGTCCTGTGCTCTCACCGTGGCGACACTTCTCACAGCTGACCAGCCGGTTCCCAGGGACCACAGCCTCTGAGCGACAGACACAGCAGAGGAGTTCCTCCCCAGGGAGGGCAGCTACGAGGGAACACAGTGTTAGGGCCTGTCCTTCAGGCAGGTTCCTGTCTTCCATGGGATGCACACCCCCAGGCCTCTAGGGTCTCACCAGGGCTAATGTCTTTCCATAGAACCAGAAACTGGGAGTCATCCTCAAACTGCACCAGACACACCTCCCGAGCACTGTCCACCTGGAGTGGGTGAGTACACAGGTAAAATGGGCATCAGAACTAGATGAGGAGACTGGGGGAAAGATGACGGGTCAGAGGTCAAAGGTCTCACCTTCTTGATAGTTCCCAAGTACAGCAGCCCATCTGTCCATCTGGCCAGCACATCCTGACCCTCCCAAAGTCGAGGCCTGGGGCCTGAGGTGGGAGCAGAGGAAGCTGGGTCCCAAAGTGGGGGGGCACCGGAGCGGCTCAGCCGGGGGGGCTGTGCCATTGCATCCTGGGGGGGCCTGGCCAGAGTAGAATGTGAGGAGGTTATGGAAGCTGAGAGACACTCCTGATTTTCTTTGCCTATTTTTCTGTCAAGGATTCAAGCAGCTGTGCCCCCTGTCTCCATGCCCCTGAGACAGCTGGGCAGGAAACCCCTCAGCACCCCTCCTCAGCTGGACTCCAGCTCGCCCAACTATGGTGACCAGTCTCCCTCCCTAACCAGCTCACCCCACCTAGTTCTCCGGTCCCAGCTTCCAGAGCTCCCCTGGGCTTATATCCTGGTCTTGAGATTTTAACAGAGACGATGGCCGCAGAAGCAAAGGTCACTACTCCTGCAGTTTAGAGGTATAATTGGGGTTACCCAGAGATGTATGTTGGGAGCTTTTTTGGAGATGTTTTTCCGGAGTAGAAACAGCTGGCTCCCCGGGCCCGCGTGTCTCATTAAGAATCATCATCCGGGTACCAGGTTATGTCAGGTCACCCTCAAATTCGGGGGTCCCTGCCCTCGGGTTAGATAACTTCCCTGAGTGCCCCGGGAGGGGGGGAGTTTTCCATCCCAATCTCTCACGGGATTTAGTCAACGGGGTTGAAGTTGCCAGCCACCACAACCAGATTGGCCGGTCTTCGCTCGCTACGGACGCCGAAAACCGCTCTCCGCGGCTCCCCACCCACAGGCTTCCGCGCCTCATCACCAGTGAAAGCTGGGGGCGTCGGACCGGGCAGAGGCGGCTCGGGAGACCCAGCAAAAGCCCCGCCCGGGGAGGGCAAGTCTGGGCCTCGGGGGCGTGCAGGCGGAGG